AATATTCAAATTATAAGTTATATATTATTAATGCCTTTCTTCTATTTTCAATTTTCAAGCAACATTTCAGTTCAGTCATACGATTTTTCATTTTTAAAAAATCATACGTTACCTTCTCCAAAATGCAGTACTTATATTGTAATGATCGACAATCTAGAAGGGCGATGAATTTCTGCGGCGAGAATCTGCTTATTTTTTGTTTAATCAGAATTAATTAAAAAAAAAATAAACAAGTAATTATCACTACAAGGAAAATAATAGAACTGAAGGGAAAAAATTTAATTGGATGGGATTAGCAATGTGCATATACTATTACTATCAGTTATTATTATTATTTGTTATTTATCATTTTATTCGAATAGAAACCCTAACCTATTACTATTTCCATAGGACCAACAGATTCGAAATACATGTAAAAACGAAATATGACAGTATAATAAGTTAAATAAAAAATGCGCGAATTCAAATTCTTTAGCCTAGTGGTTTACAATATAGATTATGCTACGCTTGCAATATGCGTGACAGGTCTGCTTACAAAAATAGAAAGATTCAGCAATTAGCCAATTTTAGATATAATTCTTCGCATTCTGCAGTTTTCTGCTTGACAGTTAGTTAAATGATGTGTAGGAATATAATGAAACTAATGGTGATGGTTTCTATCACGAAATATTGGATTTATGATTCTTGATTCTTTTCCAATTGGTTTTGATGGCAAATCTTCCATATTACTTTAATATTTTCAAGTGCTGAAAATTGCTTATTGATGGTTATATTTTTGCAGTGTGACTTTTTAAATTTTCAAGTACTTCAAATGTATTATCTAAACCAATCTGTGCAAAAATGATAATAAACAAAATGAGATGTATAATACAAATAAATGAGAATTAAACTTTACTTACTCCCAAATTCCACAAAATTTTCAAGTTTATAATATAATGTTTATCCCAATTGATTGGTAATTGGAAAGTTCCAATAAGAAACATTCTATATACTTTAGAAGCAGGTAAATCCATGCCCCATACCTGGACATCTAAACCTATAGATAAACAAGATGTTTATTTAATAAGTACAAAAATCAAAAAAGCACAAACTGAAAATTTTAACTTACCATGGCAGTGTTAAAACCAGACATGTAGACATCACATGATTTCAAGATCACCTATAGACTATTCTTGAGAAAAATATCATAGAGAAGATCAAGTGGTATATTTAATAGTAAACAAA